GGGTATCTGTGTATCAGTGCACTGTTCAGTGTTATCTTGAAAGTGTTCTTTGAGTCGGAGGTGGTGAAAGTAGGCTTCCAGATCACCACAGAACAGTATCATGTTCATGGGGGTGCTGGGGCAAAAAGAGAGTCCCCGAGATAGGACAGACTCTTCTGCTGGGTTGAGTGTGTAGCTGGATAAATTGACGATATTGCTGGGTGAGTTAGGGGTACCACTGTTGTGGCCCCATGTGGCAGGTAGGAGTTTAGACAGCTTATGGTCCTTTTTCCTTTGTAGAGAGGTGAAGTGTGTAGTGTAGATCTCTTGTCTTATTTTAGTGAAGTCCATTTGTGTGGAAGGTTGGTTATTAATGAAAGTCTCCAGGTTGGAGAGCTCTTTTTTGATGTTTTCCTGTTTGCTGTATAGGATGCTGATCAGGTGGTTCCTCAGTTTCTTTGATAGTGTATGGCATAATCTCTCACTGTGGGCTGTGCAGTATGTGGATAGCAATGGATTTTTCACCTTCAGTCATTTGGTATGAAATAGTAATATTATACAAAACCCTCAGAAGACAGGATACTGGACTAGATGGACCATTGGCCTGATGCTGTATGGCTGTTCTTACACTGAGCACAAGCCACAATCTCATGTGGAAGAACATGCTCCTTATGAACTGGAGATGCTTGCTCATGTTTGTAGCTTTTCAGGAGAAGGCCGTGTCATCCCCGACAGAGCTTGTGAAAGTGATTTAAGTGACTGAGTCTGGGGAATGGTTGCTGTGTCTTCTGTGTCTTCTGTTTCAATGGCACAGACAACAGCCCTGACACTGACAACTTTCTAAATCACATGAGCTCTCTCTGTTTACACCTCATAACTAGGTGTAAAGTTTGGTCACACAGTTTCTGCAAAATCTTTTTCTGAAGGAAATTTGGGATCTTAATAAAAGGACAATTTCACACAAATTGTCGGCTTTCCTTAAAAGGTTTTGTTTTTTAAAAGGAAAAAAAAAAAAAAAAAAAAGGAGTCTGAACATTAGTTTTTCAATGAACAGATTAAGAAAATTTTCAGCTAATGTTTTTTGGCTTTCCAACCATTGATTATTTTTTGTTTAGTTTTGGGTTTGTTTTTTTTAGTTTTCGGCAGAAAACAATATAATTTTTGGATCAAAAATTGAAATTTTGATGAAAACTTTCTACAAGGACAAAAGCATACCTGCTAGTTTTACTGCTGACAATACAAATATAATTTATTATTTGCATTGTGCAATCAGATAAGTTCCCCAGTCATGGCCCAGAAGCCCGTTGTGCTAAGTGCTGTACAAACACAGGATGAATTGATTACTCTGAATGGCTGAAATGTAACACTGAGCCCTGTTACATCCCCGACCCTGGCTCGATTGCCTCACTGCAGCAGCCCTTATTCACACCAGCACCTCCACTACATTTAATGATGCCACTTCCACTTTCCTGATTACAGGTTAATCACAGAAGTCAGGAGCGCAGGAGATGCTGATGCCGTATTTACCACAGGCCTGATAAAATGAGGATCCCAGGAGCAACCTCAGCCATCTCCATGGGCAGTTAGGAGAGGTAGCTGGGATGAGCCAGGCTGCAGGGGGCAGTGTTAGGTCACCCATAACCAGAATCTTCTCCATGGGTGCTTGGGAGAGGCAGCTGGGATTCGCCAGGGCTGCAGAGGGCGGTCCCATGTCACCTGATTGGCAGAGGAGCAGTGTTCAGCTGCTGGTATGGGCTAACGAGGAGAAAATTTGAGCATATCTCCTGCTCGTGCTTCTGGGAACCAAGAGTTGCTGGAGGTGCTGTCTGTTTGCCCAGTGAGGCCTGAGCCCTCAGATGAGGGAGGAGATGGAGTCAGGGCAGAGGAAGCGTGAGGTAGAGGAGACAGTGATATCCTCCAATCTTAATACTGTAGGTGCCTAAATTTCTGCAGTAAGATGTTATCGGGGCAGCTGTTTCTGCCTGCATTGTAGGCACCTGGATAGAAAAGCCCCACAGTGATGCACAATCCACTGTTGCTTGGACACTTTCTGGTCACGCACCTTGGGTTTATATAGGGCATGGAGCCAATCAGGAGTCATGGGGCTACTGCCTGTCAAACCGTTAAGGCGGAACTTCCCATGGGTGACAGCCACAGCCAGTCATGGGAAGTTGAGAGCAGGCTGGTTACAGCTGCTCCTGGGTGACAGCCTAAAGCTGTTAGCTACCTGATAGCTCTACAGGCCTGGGCTCTAGATCTGTGGGGCCTTCCAGGCATTCTCTTACTTGTTGCTCTGTCTCTCTTTTTGGCCCACTGATACTTTATTTATTTATCCACAGTGGAATAGCTTCAACTGGATGTTGGATCACGTCCAAAGTGAAAGGACAGCCATGGCCACTGGTTTCTGTGTAGTTAACACCTGATTTATTTATGCCCAGTGCAGAGTCTCACGCCTGCTCCATTTTACTGTTTGATATTTTCTCTTACTCACTCTCACCCGCTGCTTAACCTTGAGTTACAGAGGCAGGGCTCGTCCAACAGGGAAGGGATCTCGGACCACACTTCATATTAGTTTACAGGGGTTTTCAAACTTGTTTTGCTGGGACCCGATTTGAAAATATATCAGGCTGTGATGACCCTCCCAAAAAAATGACTACCCCCTATACCATGTCACCCTTATTTTTCCACTGCTGCTGGTGGCAGCGCTGCTTGCAGAGCTGGATACCTGGCCAGCAGCTGCTGCTTTCCAGCTGCTCACCTCTGAAGGGCTTGGGCTGTGCATGGCTGAAAGGCTGAGCCTGGTTATGCAAGGGGGCTCACAGCATGACACCCATGTAATAACCTTGTGACAGCCTGAGGGGTCATGACCACCAGTTTGAGAGGTTTCAGAGTAGCAGCCGTGTTAGTCTGTATCCGCAAAAAGAACAGGAGTACTTGTGGCACCTTAGAGACTAACAAAATAATAAATTTGTTAGTCTCTAAGGTGCCACAAGTACTCCTGTTCTTTTTGCAGTTTGAGAGGGGGAGGGATAGCTCAGTGGTTTGAGCCTGGGCCTGCTAATCCCAGGGTTGTGAGTTCAATCCTTGAGAGGGCCCACCTAGGGGTCTGAGGCAAAATCAGTACTTGGTTCTGCTAGTGAAGGCAGGGGGCTGGACTTGATGACCTTTCAAGGTCCCTTCCAGTTCTATGAGATAAGTATATCTCCATATATTATTATTACCTGGTTTACAATAATATGAAGTGAAAAGTTCCTGAGAACAATCCAGGATCTTTATTCATTGGCATTTCAAACAGATTTCATTCACCTCATGGGGTGAATCTGAAAGCTCTGTGTTTTAACAATGCCATCTCCAGATGGACTGAACCCAGGAATGCCAGATCTGTAAGCACACACCATACTGCCAGCACTGAAGAACCAGCTCCCACAGCTGAAAGTCTGCAGAAGATTAATCATTAAAATTGCGAGTCTTTCATGGAGGTCACGGAAGTCACAGATTTCATGATTTTCCAGGACCTCTGTGACTTCTGCAGCGGTCAGTGTGACTGACCCCAGGGCTGCCTGAGCAGCTGGGGCAGCCCTGGGGCCAGTCACACTGGCTTCTGCTCAGGCAGCCCCAGGGGATTGCTGCTTGGGCGGAGCCGGGGTCAGCTGCACTGACCGCTAATCAGGAGGCCCCAGGCAGTTGCCCCCAGGGACTGCCTGAGCAGCACCAGTCTCAGGCTCTGCCCCAGGGCCGCAGCGGTGCCCTGGGCCTCCCCTCTGAGAAGCAGTGGGGCACCAATCCACCCCCCCCCCCAGAGCAGCAGCAGCAGCAGTGCTCCAGAGGCCTCCAGAGTACCTAAGATTTAGTCATAGGTATTTATAGTACAAGTCATGGATAGGTCACTGGGTGTAAATTTTTCTTTATTGTCTGTGACCTGTCCATGATTTACTAAAAATACCTGTAACTAAAACATAGCCTTACTCATCATTTCTATGTGACCTAGTCACTACAGGGAGACAAACAGCCAGGCAGGGCTACCATGGGTTATACAATGCCCCTGATTGAGGAAGCTTGTCCCAAGCAGCACAGATCAATATCAATTCAAATCCCTCTAAGGGCCAGCATTTTGACACTCTGTTTGCTCCTTCTCAACCAGATGGACTACATGTGTCTGCAACATGTGGCTCTTCACACCATGAATATTAGAGTCTTCCTGTTCATATTAATACCCAACTCCCACAAGAAGTTGAACATATTGGACAGGATTCTGCTCCCTGTTCCACCTGTATGAAACTGGACCCACTCCAAAGACTCCAGTGGAGCCCTGCTGGATTGGAAGAGGAAGCTCACCATTACTCATTCTTCTTGTTTTCATTTATATCTATGCTTTTAAAATCAGAATTTACCAGCAAAAACTTTATCAAAATGTTCCGTTGATCCAAAATATTGTTTTCTGTTAAAAATATTGACAACAATTTCAACAACGTTTTCAATAATGTTTTCATGGAAACCCCCCTACCCCCGCACACACACACAAAACTAGTTTATCATTTTTCTATCCCCTCTACGTATCAAATGCCCTATAGTGTGATAAGAGCTAGGGCAGATGGCTTTTAACACAGGTCTTACGTGCTTGTGCTTTTGCAAGCTATTTCTAGGCTGGAGGCACTGTGTGCAAATGAAATGATTTTATAGGCTTTATTGATTGAACATGAATTGTGCATCAGGAGACAAAGGCATCTGGCATCACACAGAGCAGAGACAGATTGAGCAATAATTCAGAACAGCAAGCAAAGAATACCAAGAGAGAATTTTTCTTTGACTCATGCGCAGAATCAGAATTGCTGAAGTAAAGCGCAGTCAAATTATGGGGTTAACTCACGAACTAGGTACTAGTGATTTCATAGCAGATGCTGAGACTCCCCTTCCCACTGTGATTCAAAATGATGACATTTTCCAGCCAAGTGACAATTCTGTAGTTCGCAAAATCTACTGGGTGGCATTAACGTGTGTGAGGCATAGATGAAAAAGTCTTCTTAAGAGCTTGCCTCCTTCCTGGAGTGAGCCACAATGTATTTGATCTCTTGTAGGATCTTGTCTTTGTTGTTCAATACATTCAGTCTGGCTGATTGAAGGAGTTTGGTGATGTCTCCCACATGGTAGAGAAAGCGAAGCATGGTGAATCTAATTCTCCATTCTGTCACATAGGCTGAAAGCAAAGAGAGAAAAGATGTGAATACATTTTTAGGATGAGGGTATTAATATTACTAATGTAGTATCAATAACAATTAGAACTATTATTATGATTGTATTCTAGGGTTCCCAGGCCATCGTGAGAGGAATATCTTGCTTCCGAGACTTAAGGCGAAGAATCAAGTGAGGCTCATGTATGGGGAAAAGGGTTTCACAAATGCTCTACTCCCAATCCCAAAGCATCTGGATGTTTTGTCTACAACGATCACTTTGCACTTCTCAGAGTTATTGAATCAGGTTGTCTACAGACTCAGACAGTTTCCTTTAATTCTATCTAATTCATTCTCCTATTTTCCCTGCTTTCTACCTCTCCCCCAGCTATTCTTTTGTCTTCTTGCTTTTCTCTGTAGTGTCCCATATGCAGCATGTTTGTGAAAAAACAAGGAGCAGATTCTGCTCTCATTTGCACTAAGGTAAATTAACCTAGAGTACAACCTATGCATCTACCTATCTAGGGATTTCAATGGAAACAATGCCATTTGGGTGCCTACCTCCATTAGGCTCCCTTAAAAATATTGCCGCTGAGTTCTTATAAGACTCCCATCATTATAGGAACAGAGCATTTAATGTCATGACATTCTGCGTTCACAGTGGATCAAAAATCAAGAGAAATAGAATGTGTGCAGAACGTACGGGTGTCTGAGCTGGTGTAACTCACATGCCCAGACAGCTGAGAGAAGGTTAAAGGTTTTCCAACTTCTAGACTCCTATGCATTCCTCTCTGAATTTGTCCTTATGTGCCAGACTCATCTCTTCATTGCACTAGTGTAAATCTACATTTATTCCTTCGACTTCACTTGTGTAACAGAGAGAAGATTTGCCTCTGTGTCTTGACTAGTGCTAAAGAAAGAAGTTACCTGATTCTGAGCTCAAGGAGTCATTTGATGAAACTGAAAATCTGCAAATGTGAAAATCATAAAAGCAAACACTTTTCTTTATACACAACAACAACAACAAAAACCTCTGGGACTCACTGAACACAACATTAAAGCCAAGAGCATGGTAGGATTCAAAACACGTGGATATTTATGGATATTTTCAAGATTCACGTTTAAATTAGTTAAAATTAAAAAAAAATGGAAGGGATATAGGCCAGATTTTGAAATGTATGGAGGTGTGGAAAGATACAGATAGGCGACTGGTGAGATTTTCAAAAGCAGCTGAATAGGTTAGGTACCTAATTCACTTAGGTACTTTATAAATCCCACTAGGAGTCTACCTGCACCTGTAGACACCTAAATATGTTTGAAAATTGGGCTCAAAATGTTTACAAAACAGAGGCAAAAAAAAACCAAACCCACAGATGCTACTGACAAACATCCCCTATGGCAGATAACTCTATAACTACTTAATCTGTGATTTATCCCAACTTCCTCTTAAGCTTCTATCAATAGAGATAAGCTTTAATATAGGACACAGGACTAGATCAATCTGACATTTTATCCCAATCTCTATGCCCCTTTGCTACCTTACCTCAGAGCAAACCAGACTCATCTGTATTTAAGTCATCCATGTAAGTGAAATGAGAGTGAGGTCAGTAGCATTTTAGAAAATGGGCGACATGAAAGTTACCTGGGCAATTCACTCTGTTGAAAAGTGGGAAGTGCATGACTGTTGGAGCACCCTCTCCTCTGAAGATGTAGCAGTCAGAGGGGTTATCTGGCTCTTGGAGTAATTTCTCGTCTATCTCAGGAAATGGGATGCAGTTTTCTTTACAGTATTTGGCAGTTTGCTTGAGGGCCTGTAAGTGAGGGAATCATGATTATTTTATTTAAAAGAACTGCTGTCCACAAGACCAGATAGCTCAAAACAGATAACTCAAAACCAAACTTTCTCTCTGAGTCCTCTACTAATTGACTAAGCAGAAAACCTCCAGTGGAAACCATACCCTCTGCTCTTGGGATAGGAAGAATGTTTGTGTAACAACACATGACTGTCTATAAAGAGCTGGGATTTCCAAAGAAGCTTAAAGGAGCAAGAATTTACCTCATGGAAAAGTCAATATGGGTTGGCTTAACTCACTTAAGTGCCTTTAAATATCTCAGCCCACAGCCATAAGCATAGATCAAACATGGCACATTGAGTCCAGTACACAAGAACAGAGCTAGAAGGTTCACAGCAGCCCATAACTGTTCAATAGGGATAGATCTGAGTGGTTCAGTAGAACCCGAAGGAGAACTCCGTGTAAGCTCAAAGGCTTGTCTCTCGCACCAATGCTAGTAGGTCCAGTAAAAGAAATTACCTCACCCACCTTGGTTCAGTAGGAGATATTTTCCTGTATGGGTCAACATTCATCCCCCGTACTCAACACATGAAAGCTCAAGGCTACCAAAGGTTCATCTTTCAGTTAAGGTGAAAAACAGATTTCCTTCCTTGAGATCACTATGGGGTTCTTTTTCTAAGGCACACATGGGAATTTGTTGTCCAACTTCCATTGATTAAGGCACCAAACTGTCCATTGTGCATTTGAAAATCTCCTGCAGAGATCCATTGGGCCCTGGGACACCTCACAAAAGTATTAGCGTTGACTCAAGTTGGCTGACCAACTTGCTACTTGGATGGTAGGATTCTTTCCACTAAACATTTCCCCAGCAGGGTAGAAGGGGATGGGATTCTTTGCTCCCTTCCTATCCTGAACTGTTTTCCAGAAATAAAGTAAAGAAAATATTGTTTGGTTGTTTTTTAAAGATTGTAAATTTCTTTGTTGGATTCTTATCTCTTGGGGTCAGGGACAATGTATTTTTCTGTGTTCAAATATCACCTGGAACAATGGGCCCTTTATTACTAATTTGATTGACTGTAAAAATGTAACAATGATAGGAGTTACCTTAAATGGTTCAAAAGGGCCATAGTCAAAGGAGAGGATCAGTTTCACTTTCCTTTCCGGGCGGAGAACCAGAGGGAAAGCACAGTTTATGGCTATTCCAGCATCTACCAAGGAGATGACTTTATCCTTCACCAGCTCAGTAGAGTCAAGAGCAGCTAAAGGAATGTATCCAAAGATAAAATTATCATACTAAGAGATTAGAATCTGCACCTTGCCAGTGGCAGAATTAATAAATAATATTCACTGCAGCTGTGCTCTGGTAAAGTGTCTGTATCTTGTGCCCTTATAAAGTAGAGCCACCCGTTCCCCACCCCTCATCGTCTGCTTCCCTTACTGCCCATTGTACAGTATGGCTGCCTTTCCTCACCTCTCACCCTCTGCTGCCCCTAGTGCCCATTATACAATATAGTTCTCTTATACTTGATCCTTCCATCCACTGGACATTATACAGTACAACCACCACTTTCTCCTTCCTGCCATTTATGGGGCATCATTATAAGCTGCAGTGGGGTGATCATCTGCTCCAGCCGTAGAAAATAGCCCAGGAAAGGGCTGTGGCTGGGGAAGGCTGAATGGAGAAGCAGCCTCAGCTATGGCCACGCCCCAATCAGGGCCCAGCTGGCCCTTATAAGAGGGCAGTGGGCCAGGAGCAGACAGTTTCCAGAGGGAGAATGGCCTGGCTGCTGGGAGGCTGAAGAGGGTACCTGAGTGGAGCAGGGCTGGGGAATAGGGCAAGGGAGCTGGGCAGCTCCCACCTGGAAAAGCCCCAGGCTGCAGCCTTGTCAAAGGCCAGAAAGGTACTAGGGTGCAAGGGTGCAGCCCAGGGTAGGCAGAGCTAGCCGGTCCAACCCCCCCTTGCCTATTATGAGTGGCTTTTACACTGCAGTCTGCCCCAGTGAGCAGGGCAGTAGCCCAAGACTGAGGCGAGGTGGGGATAGTGGGTGGGGGTTCCCCTGGGTGGGGAGACCCAGAGAGCGGGTGAACTGCCATGGGGCAGCGCCCGAAGACAAGGGGCACCAGTTCCAGCAGGGACACTGGGGCCAGCGGCAGCGAGGCACCAGCCTGCAGAGGGCGCTCTGGGTCACTGGAACTGTCAGTGGGAGCTGCGATCGGCCGAACCAGCCGACGCGGCAGGTAAACAAACTGGCCCGGCCCGCCAGGGTACTTCCCGGCCCGCCAGGGTACTTATCCTGGTGAGCTGCGTGGCAGAGGTTGCCGACCCCTGCTTTATATAAACCAATAAAAAACTGTTTCTACTGATAATCACAATTTACTGATAAGCAAAATAAGAAAAATGCTTTTGAGAATTTAAATTAGAATAGTTATAAAATAGACTAGTGAATGAATATTAAAAACTGATACGATTAGTTGATTTAGGGATATTAAGTTTGTATATTTTGACATATGATGTTGACAATTTGTGTTTTAATGGTTTTTAAAGGTTTAAATTTTTTAATCTCTGTGTCTACTGTCATTAAATATTCATTTGATTCTCCTCTTAATTTTCATCAGCTGCTAGTATTTAAATTGATAAGAATAAAAAAAATGCTTAAAATCTATATTTTCATGCAACTGAAAACTTAAATAAAAAAAACAAAAATGCTTAAAATAAGTATTGACACCATCTGTCAAAATTTAAAAATAAAAATTTAATTCTTCCAACCTTAAAAACCTCATGTTTCTGTGTGATGTATTTACTGTCAAAACGGGACATCCACACCACAGAGTCAGTAACCCATATTTTACTTACAACATTTGTAAAGAAAGTTATTATTCGTTCCCCATTTCCAGGTCAAGAGACCATGAGTGGTTTTTTGCCACATTCTAGCGAAATCCACCACTGAGCCTGTGAGAGGGCACAAACCAGAATTCAAATATCAGATCTAAATATATAAATATATTCAGGAACATCTGGAAATCAGCAGAGATGTTCTTATCTCTTATTTGCTAGTGCAGACAAGAAGCTGTGGGAAAAATACCAGCATGTCTTGTATATAGAGCAAAAATTAAAAAGCAAAGCTGATTGTGAGGAAATAAAGGGCATTCTTTACTGAGACAGACAGAAGCTGTGGTATTCTCAGAATCCTGGATTCCCCCATTGTGCCACATAATGACCCAAACACACTTGTCTGGATTGAGATGTGTCAGCTGTCAAATTCCCCCATGCACAGAACACCTGATGGCAGTATAAATCATTTCCTATATTTCACTATGTAAGATATGTGGCTCCCTTCCTTTAGCTGCTGATTTGAGTTGTGCAAATAACGGATTTTTTGGTTCCACTGTTGAACAAACAATTATAATTTAAAAATCCCAAATGAATATTTTTTAAAAAAAATTAAGTGAAAAGAGAAAGTAAACAAAAAAATCATTTTAGGTAGAATTAAATGATTGGCTTTTCTCAGAATGAAATATTTCTTTTCTTTTTTTTGAGTTCTAAAAGTTTTTTTAAGTGAAATTGAACCAATTTTTTTTTAATTGTTTTAAACCAAAAAATCAAAACATTTCACTTTGAAAATTTCAGTATGAAATATTTGGTTTTTCTTTCTGATTTATTTTTGTTATAAAATAAACAGTTCTGAAAATTTGATGCAAATAATAAAATATTATGGCTGACCCAAATGTGCATTTTTCAGGAAAGAAAATTGAGCTGAAAAATTTCACCCCCTTCTAATGCTGAGTTCCCTCGACTCCCATTAGAATTGCTTTGAGCTGAGGAAACACAACCTTCAATTGTTAAACACCCAAAATGGTCAAAATCCAAACACGGCCCGCTTATAATAATAATTTTGAGTTAATCTAAACATTTTGGTCAACACAAAATGGCTTTTAGATGCCTAAGTGCTTTTGAAAATAACACTAGGCACCTAAATATCTTTGAAAATCTGATGCTTTGTGACTTAGGAGCAAAGTCCCACCGAAAGTCAACAGGGCTTATTCTCTGACCTCCTGTTCATGCCTTTTGAAAACACCTTCATTGATATTGATGAAGGGGCTCAGAAACTTCCATAAAGGGTACGACAGAAATCCCTACACATAAACAGGGATAGTCCACAACAGCTCTGTGCTGAGCAGACATTTGTCAAAAAATGACAACATGAGAATTATTATTCACGAGGAAGGGTGAACAAGAGCCGAGGGATTTTTTTAACTGAACAGTTCATTGGGCCTGAGTCTCTCCTCACAAAGATGCCAATATCTCCTCATGCAACCAGTGTACAAGCGGAGATTCAAACTCAATCCACAGGGGATTAAAATGACTTACCTCCTCCGCCTTTAATGTTTTCAGTAATTGACTTGTTCTTAGTATCTGAAAAATATATTTGGGTTATCGGTCACTGCACACTATCATTGACAATAATGCAATCACCTAGGCAAGAATCCAGATAAAGATAATGAAACTATAGTCACCAGTTTTGATTTTTAAAGAGTCTAAGGGAGTTAGGTGCTCAAATATTATTTAATCCCAATGGGATGTGGGTACCTAATTCTCTTAGTATCCTTTGAAAACCCAGCCACTGTGAATGCTATTCACTAAAGTCTCACCCTGACAGAGGCAAGTTGAAGGGACAGAGGAATGCTTGTCTCTTATTCTCTAGATCCACTTTGTGCTCATTGAGAGCTCTTTGGAAATAACTTGTGAAAATCATACCCATCAGTTCTGGGAACATTCCTTACTTTCATGGCAAAGCTTTCTGATGTAGATGGATCTCAAAAAAAAAATACACTGAACTTTGGCCCTTGTGGAGGGAGGTCTCATTTCAGTTTCAAGAGTCTCCACGTTTGTTTGCTTTGTCTCCTCTACTACTCTGGCTCTACTAGGAAGCCAAACTAGGACTAATTTAGCCCTGGCTACTTACATAGAATTGTAGAAATGTAGGAAAGGAAGGGGCCTTGACAGGTCATCTAGTCCAGTTCTGTGCACTGAGGCAGGACAAAGTATTATCTACACCATCCCTGACAGGTGTTTTTCAAACCTGTTCTTGAAAACTTCCTATGTCAGAGATTCCACAACCTCCCCAGGGAATTTATTCCTGTGCTTCACTACCCTGACAGGAAGTTTTTCCTAATATCTAGCCTAAATCTCTCTTGCTGCAATTTAATTACATTGCTTCTTGTCCTGTCCTCAGTGGTTAAGGGGAACAATTTATCACCCACCTCTTGATAACAGTCTTTTACAAATTGAAATCTGTTGTCATGACCCCCTCAGTCTTCTCTTCTCCAGACTAAATAAAGTGAACGTTTTCAATCTTTCCTCATAGGTCCTGTTTTCTAGATCTTTAATTATGTATATTGTTCTCCTCTGGACTTTCTCCATTTGTCCATATCTTTCCTGAAGTTTGCTGCCCAGAACTGGACACAATGCCCCAGCTGAGGCCTTATCGGTGCTGAGTAGAATGGAAATATTACTTCTTGCACCTTGCTTATAGCACTCCTGCCATGTGCTTTGTGATTGCACATAATATGTGTGCAAAGAAAGCTCTTGCTAAATATTTTGGGAGTACAATGAAAATTCCATCTCCCTGCAGAGAAGGAGTCTCTTTTTATTTCCAGTAACTCACAATTACTCAGTGGTAGCCGCCACACAGGACAGGGAATCTCTACAAAACATTGGACTTAAAAGCTCTGGGAGTGGGCTGTGAATATTTGGTCCGAGGACTCATGAGGAACTGTGTTCATACAGATTTAGATGTGTCACCTAGAGATAATGAGGGTGAGAATTATTGTTTGCTCTGAAAGACTAGAAGACATGACCCCCAGAGATCTTGGCAAAATGCAGTAAGCTAGATTCTTCCCTCATTTACTGATGGGTAAATCTATAGTAACTCCAATGACTTCCTCTTCCCAACGTATGCCACTGTTGCAGAGCATAGCATATGACTAAAGAATGCCAAAGTCCTATAAGCTGCAGTATTCATTAGACAGATTGGTAAAGATATATATATGTATGTAGGTAGGTTTAAAGCCAGAAGGGACCATTAGGTCATCTAGTCTGATCTATTGTATAGCATGGGCCACACAATTTCATCCAGTTACCTTCACCAAGCCTGTCAACTTGTGTTTAACTAAAGCATCTCTTCCAGAAAGGCATCCAATCAGACTTTGAAGCCAAAGAGATGGAGATTCCACCACTTCCCTTGGGAGTTTGTTCCAATGGTTAATCACCCTCATCATTAATATGTGTGCCTTATTTCTCACTTTGATTTGTCTGACTTTAACTTCCCGCCATTGCTTCTTTTTATGCCCTTCCCCTGCTAGATTTGAGAGTATGCCTGTATTTTCTCACTGTGAAGGTATTTAAACACCATAATCTAATCACCTCTTGGACTTCTTTTTCATATATTAAACAGACTGAGGTCCTTAAATTTCTCACTGTATAAGACTTGGCATCATTTTTGTGACACATCTCTGCATTCAGCTTCAATGTCTCAATGTCCCATTTTCAAATATGGACACCAGAATCAGACACAGTATTCAAGTATCAATTTCAGGCAATGGATTGGGAATCAATTCAAGGCAGTTCAACTCCTGGCTTTGCCAAAAGTTTTCTAGGTGATATTTGAGAAGTCACTTAGGCTGGGATTTGTAAGGTATTAAACACTCATATCCCACTGAATATCAATTTTAACATGTTGAGATTCCTTTGAATTTCCTCACTATATTTCTCATTGAACCTCAGTTCCCCATCCTGAATTTTTGAAAGCTTCTCAGATACTTTGATAGTGACCATCACAGAGTTGCCTATATTATTTAAGAAACAGGACCTTCCCAGGTGGCTTCGGTCCTGAGCACACACTCAGAAAACAGAGAACATGAGAATTACTCATGAGACTATGTAATTAACAATCTGGATATGATTATCTTCTCAAGCAGGAGTAGATCAGAAGCAATTCCACTGCTGTCAATGCAGTGGTGCTAGTCTGAATATGTGTTAGCAATCACTTTACTTGTAAGGTGTTTCTTGATCCAGCTTTTAGGCTATGGGGCTCTAAGGGAGGCATGTGATCTAGGATTTTAAGCAGTCATTCTGAATAAAGCCAGCCTAGATCAAGGTGGGGAGAGTTTTGCCTCTCTGTCTTAGGGGGCAGCCTGCTTTTTCTCTATATATTTTTATTTACTGAGTATTAAGGTTCTGGATTTTTAAAAAAAAATAAAGTAATATTACACTGCAACCTTCTAGCAAGAGTATTTAATGTTTTATCCAACTTCTCTGTTTGAATGCTATGAACATAAAGCAGTTACAGCTATAGGGTCAGAGCGAGAGATCCAGGACTATATACACCTACCTGGTGAAAAGCCTCCTGGTGAAGCTCCTGCTGGCTCACTCTGCAATGAGCCTTCCATATCACCTGAAAATGTCATAAGGATTGCCAGTCATTTCACAGCCACAGACAATAACACAAATATCTAAGGGCCGGTTTAAACTGAAAACTTAGGTCAATTTAGCTACTTCATTCAAAAGTGTGAATGAAGAGACGTAATAAAGCTGACCTAAGCCCCAGTATAGATACAGGTAGTTTGATGGAAGAATTAGCCTAGCTACCTCCTCTCAAGGGGGTAGACTAACTACAATGATGGAAAAACCCCTTCCATCACTGCAGGAAGTATTGACAAGACAGAACTATGGTGATACAACTGCAGTGCCATAGCTGTGCCATTGTAACAGCTGTAGTAGTATAGACAAGGTCTAAGAAACAACACACAGATAAGAATGAAGATATTCTCTAATAGTCCAAGGACAAAGTTGTTAGTTTAAATAGCTCAGGATAGATTCTTCCCTCCCCTTCCCTACCTCTAGTATGGAATGTCTCCACATTTTGCCAGTTTTTTTTTTTCCTTTTCATCTTATCAAAAAATTATCCCTTCCTGTGTATCCACATGGCTACAATCAGTGTCCAGACTTTATTATTTCCCTTCTTAACTACTACAGCCTCTTCCCCTATTGCCTCCCAAAAACATTCATTAATCCCCCTCTGGTCGGTCCAAATTCTACCCCTAATATCATCTTCCCCGTTGTCTGGCAATATGGCCACATCAGCTCGCTTTTGGAAAGTTTTCTGTCAAAACTATTTTTAGCTGCAAAATAAGGGTGTGAGAAGTTTGGGTTGTTACCGACATTATTATGAAAACCCCCCAAATTTCAATGAAGACAGAAATTTTATATATTTGAAATAATTCCATGTAATCAAAAAGCTATTCTCTCTCTCTCTCTCGCTCTCGCTCTCATACACACATGCGCACACACATATGACATGGTCTAGTGTGTTGATTAGCACTATAATGAATTCCATAAATAAAAATTTATAAATTTACAAACTATGGTTGCAGATGCAGAGGCTGCAATACTCATTGAAGGCTGGGTATCACAGAGGAGAAAGCCAAGAGATGGAGTTGTGAGTGTGACCGTGAAAAGGAAGCACAGAGATTGAGCTGCTTGGGCACTGAGCTCTTTGAGTGGCAGACATGGGGATTTCTGAGCAAGGAAACTGCTGGTTTTATTGTTCCTACTCTGTTCAGGGCTACATGATTTACTGTACATTTTTTTAAAATAAAGATTAGACCAAATGTACCTGACTTATATCATCTATTCCTCCCCCTAATAACATGGCCCTGAAGGCCCCAACTATTGGCTAATGACTTAGAACAAAACAGGCAGCCATGGATAGATAGATAGATACACTTACCAGCTTCAGGTTCAATGGTGGGTGCTGGAAACCCCTTGACCATTCCTTCTGGACAACCTGAAAATGCCATTAGGATTATCAGTCATTTCATATACCCATGGACAATCACATAATCAGCTAGGAAGCAACATTCAGGTTACAAAGATCACGGTCAAGATTTTCAAGTTTCATAAGGAACAAAATTTGTAGAAAGTAGAGGAAATCCAATTTTTTTTACCTGAAATAGTTTTTCAACCAAAAACAAGAATAAGAATCCTGATTTTTTTTTCCAGTAAATTTGTTTTAGTTTTGATTAAAAAAATCATTTTTTAGAAAATTGTTAATGAAATATTTTTGATTTCTGGTATTTCAGTGAACAACCAGTATTTTTCCCCCAGGGGAGGGGAAGGGAATGGCCCTTTATAGACATCAGCAGTAGGCACATCTGGTAAGTAATTCCACTTGTATCATTGGAGTGACCACGGACTATAATGACCTACTTTCTTTTGATGGTGAATGTGATTCCTTTTCTCCCTTAAAGAAGCCAAAGAATATATCTGGAAAAAAAACCCCTCAATTAAGCAAGTCAGTTATTTCACAATACCTTGATAATAATTCAGTCCTTTAGAACACAAATTTTAGGCCACAATGATTTATTAGAAAAAAATATATTGATGAAATTATACCACATCCATTTCTGTCTACTCCCCACCAATCTTGTCACTAAATCTCTATCTTATCACACTCGCTTAGTGTGCTGCTGTGTCCCCTCTAGAGGTGCCTGAGACACTTACAGAAGTTGATGTCACTTTTATTTGTGATTGAACTAAAGGGGGACAAAGTGACACTTGGAGTGGGAGTGGCTTATATATCCCTTTCTGTCTGCCCATATGACTCAAACCATCATCTAGACCTATTACTTCCCATTTGACATATTGACTTATTAAAGGTTTTTTAAATATATAAAACTAGAGTTGATATAAATGTTTTGACCAACATTTTTTCCTGTCTGAAAATGTGGCTTCATCAAAGTTGAAAACTTCCATTAAATATCAGTTTTGATCATCTTTTGTTTTTAAAAAAAATTCCAGTAGGAAACTATAAAAAGAAACAAACAAAGAAAAAACAATGTAAGATGACACTGTTTCATTTTTAGAAACCAAAAAAATATCATTTTTCTATTTTTGGTGTTTGAATTTTCACTGCATTTTACAATCTCTCTCTTCCTTTTGTATTTCTCGTCCTCTTTTTTTTTAACTCACTGGGGGAAGTGGCAGGTGGAGAAATATAAAAAGATGGGAGAAAAGCGGAGTAAATCCCAATTTTTCACACTTATTTTACTATTTTCCAACTAGAAAAAGTTGGGCATTTTTTCCCACCAAAAATTGTGGGTTTCTGATTTCCTCTAATAAAAATTAAAAACAGCAAGTCTAAGAACCTTTGATAGAACCTAAAATAGAAGAAATAATTAAATAAAAAAAAGTCTGCAGAACATGAAACACCATCACCTTCAGGAGCACACACAAAGAGATGCTGTTTGCAGTGTGCTGTAAAAGTCCTTACACCTGGGTTATTTTAGAGCAGTGCAGGGAGCTTGTTCTGGAGTTGATAAAGAAGACTCCACTCTAGAGAGTCCCATCCAGCACAAAGTTGAGGACCTGAGCTCTGACTCCAGTGTGCTATGAGGACAGAAACTGGCATACCTTTTATGACTTTTTCATTTTCTGTTTTGCTGCCAATGGCACTTCCCCACAAACCTGAACACAAGAAGGAAAAGAGTATAAAAGGATTTGACTCTGTTTACTTACACAGGTTCTACTTAGGGTTGATCAAGGTATTTTCTTCACGTTATTTTTTTGAGAAAATTGGTTTTTTGTCAAAATGAAAATGTCAAGTAAAATGTCTGCTTTCATGAAAAGGGTTTTTTTCATTAGAAACTTTTTTAATTTTTATTTTATGTATTAATTTATGTATTTATTAGTTGAAACTGAATTTATTAATTTTGTTGGTTTTCAAAAGGATTTGGTTTTCTATGGTTTTCAAAACTATGTTTTGGTTTTTATTGCTTTTGCGCTGAACATTTTTATTGTGAGGAGGTTATCTTTTCCTTTCTTTTCTGAAAAGGCAAAAATTTTCCACTGAACATTTTCACAGTAATTAAAAAAAATATTATCACATTTTCCAGAGCAGGGGGAGAGAAATTCCCACCATTACTAGTTCCATGTTAAGAACCTATTCTGCTATGTAAGGAGGTCTCAAGTTTGGGTCAAGAAATAGAACCATGGAAACACATGCCAAAGATCATAAAGTCTTACAGTCATAGACCTTGAGGCAGAAGGGACCATGAGATCATCAAATCTGACCTCCTGCAAACCACATGCCACAAACACTACCGAAGACCCACTAAATCCAGCAACCATAATTGAACTAAAGTATCACAATCCTCAGAAGACTAAACTGTGATAACATGTAATGGTTCCATATTACCACCACATGTAGGAGTGTGGTAATTAAGGTTATTCATTAATTAGATTCCTCACCAATATCCAATGGACTGTCCTCCAGATGGCCCAAAATGAATCAAAGGGTCAAATTCTGATCTCAATTACACTAGAGTAAACCACAAGAATCTCTGTTCAAGTCAATGAAGTTACTCTGAGGTGTAACAGAGTAGAAATTGGCCCATATCCTCTAGAGAGCAAGAAAAAATTACTGCTGGGATTTACACAGGAGCTTAAGGTAGTTAGATGCCCAATTCCCAATGAAATTGAGATTTGGGAACCTAACTCCTTTTAAAATCCCTA